AAATGTTGTCCCAAAGGCCTAGACTGTGGAAAGGAAGAAGAGCAGTCCTCTGGGGTAGTGACCAAGGACACAGTCGTGTGGTGAGGAAGTCCCAGAGGACCATGGGACTTAGTGGTCGGGCCTGTGGGCCTCGACCCAGTGGCAGTGTGGTCCTCTGGGACTTAGTGGTCGGGCCTGTGGGCCTCGACCCAGTGGCAGTGTTGGCAAACACGGCCAGGGGCAGAAAGGGACTTGGTAGGAACTGACAAAGGGACTTTGGGGAAGGCGATTCCCCAGGTCTGTGGGCATCCCAAGGATGCTAAGGAGTGGATCTAGGATGACCACTCGTGGACAGATGGCCCAGTCTTGGAGAGCCAAGACTGTGATGCAAGTGGTATTGGACTACCAGTGTGGCAAAGGTGATTGGGCATGGCCTTAGCGTAACGGGCGGCTATGTCGGTGGTACCTTTGAGTGTCGGTCATGGGATCGGACACGTGGAGCACTTGGACCAAGTGCAAATGTTGAGTGGCATGGATGCCATTCTCGGGGCTAGCAAGTCCCAAGTCCTGGATTGGACTTATGGAGGTTGTGAATGAGACTCCTCCAAGTGGTCAGAGGTGTGGTTAAGTGACTAAAGTAGAATGGAAAAATTAGTCGCTTACACTATTGAGTGAAGAGCTTAGACCCTTAGACAAACCACATATAATAAAATTGGGAAAAGTGGGAGCTACTCTTGAGCACTTTCTTGGGTGGCACCATCCAAGTCCATACTCACTCCCACTCAAGTCCCCTAACCCCCAATCTCAACCTCAAGTCAATTTAAAAGCACCACTAGAGAGTTCTTTCAAGACTAATTCTTAGACCTCACTATCTCTACTATACTTTTGGAACCCCTGTCACTTTATTTAATGGATGAAAGTGAATGCAAAAATGAATACTCTCATTAGACTTCTTCACAAGATGAGGCTTACACACCTAAAGACTCATTTGACTTTTGAATAATACCCTTTTCTAAATATTTCTTTGACATTTACATGTAAAATCTTGATCTCTTTGATGACCAACGATGGATATGAACCTTGATTAGATGAGCATCCACAGTTAGATCTTGCAATCCTTTATGAGCCAGTCAACCATTGCAACACAAAGACCATCGAAGGGATCTGAAGAAGGAATAAAGGAACAACATAAAAATATAGGAGGAAGTAATGGGGAGATAAAAGTGATGGAAGCAGAAGTAAAAGCAAAGGGATGAAGAAAAATAGAAGTGAGAGGAATAAAAGAAATATAAAGAAATACAAAACAAGAGAAAGAAGCCTCAAAGTCACACTTGGCATTATTGTGCCGCAACCAATCCATACTATGGATGAGGCCAAAAGTTTAACTCTGCACCACCCACAATAATTATAGCTCAAACTCGAGATCACTCACACACACAACTAGGTCTACCTCATCCTGTGTACATGCGTATGTGCAATTGTTGCCATAAAGAATGAAAATTGGATCTACCCTATAATACAAATATAAATAGCAATATGTAGCAATAAGCTAAGTAATAGAAGATAAATTGGAGTCTATATCAACCAATACAGAGAGAATAATAGAAGACCTCTTTTTATAAAAATGAGCATGGAAAGTAAACACTAAATGAACTAGTCTCGAGTGAACCCCTTGATGAGAAGTAGAAGAGACAACATTTTATAACATTGTGCCAAGTGAAGAGCATCATCAAGGTGGCTAGAGAAAATGCATGCACAAATCCTATATAAGACACAAATCCCAAAGCCCTGAAGTGGAGTCCGAGATGGAGTCCGAGATGGAGTCCAAGATGGAATCCAAGATAGAGTCCAAGATGGAATCCAAGATAGAGTCCAAGATGGACCCGAGATGGAGTCTGAGATGGACTTGAGATGGAGTCTAAAATGGAACTAAGACCGAGACCAAGACCAAAACTGAGACCAAGTCTGAGTCCGAGACTAAGTCTGGGTCCGAGTCTAAGTCCAAATACTAATACAAGTTGTTGGGTGAAAGCCCAAAGCAATCATCCCTCAGGGGAGGGCTGTAGGGGGTTCCAAAAGTATAATAAGGAGAGTGTAGGGGTTGGACCCAGTGGAGCCAATTTGGCTAGAAAAGGCCAGTTTGGCCAAGGAAGGCTATACCAATTTGTTAGGTGATGAGACAACCACTGAGAAGTCCAAGGCTAGAGTGAATATGGACCGACAAGCGGGGTATCTTGGTAAAGTGTTCAAGAGCCAACTTTAGTTCCCCCGGGAGATTGAATAGTCAATACTCCCAATCCAAGCGTAGGTGGCACTACCTACTTGATACCTGGCGTGGCTCAACGGAACCTCACTCTAAGCCCATGGTTAGAGCACCCAAAGGGGGAAGATGGGGAGAGTACCCATGATGCTCGCATAGGGCCATGGTGTTCTGAAATGTTGTCCCAAAGTCTCAGCTTGTGGAAAGGAAGAGGAGTGGTCCTTTGGTGTAGTGACCAAGGATACGGTTGTATGGTGAGGAAGTCCCAAAGGACAGTGGGACTTAGTGGTCAAGCCTATAAGCCTTGTCCCAGCAGTAATCTTGGCGAACACAGCCATGGATAGGAAAGGGACTTGGTGGGGACTGTAAAAGGGATATTGGGGAAGGCTATCCCCCATGTTTGTAGGCATCCTAAAGATGCTAAGGAGTGGATTTAGGATAATCCCTCATGTACGGATAGCAAGCAAATCTATGGGTTACTGCAAGGTTCTCCCTCTCTCCTTCTTTCCCTGTGTGTGGGATTATGTGCAGAATTCTCTTTCAATGTACTTCGGTTATAAATTATATTTTCTTCTGGTAAGAAAATGGTACTGCATGCATGGTGCCCCATCTTTGATAAGGTTGGTTTACGTGTTCTGCTATGCTGGCTGAAAGTGTATGGCTTGCTTTCCCTTTTACAAATCTATCCACAACGTAGCTGTCGGGTCTTGCCTCCATTTGTCTGTCACTGTTCCAGTAGCATCCAAGACTGTGTACATGACAGCCATTGGAAACCACAAGAGGTACTCACAAAGTCTTATGAAAACTTGTAGATTGATCTGTGTGGTTTTCAGAGATTATCCAGGCTCAGGATCTTTGTATAACACACCAGACTCAGGTGGCAAGTGTGGGGTCCCATATCAAACTTATTTTCAGATGCCTGGTACTCAATGGCTATCGGCCCCATGCAGTTCACAGTCATCTCTATAGAACACGACTGGAGCTCGACCAGCGAACAAGTCCACTTTCTTATTCTTTTCATCTTTACTTCAACGAAACCTTCTTCTACAGTATGCTTGGATGAAATCTGACCTTGAATCTGTCGACAGATTCAGTACACCATGGATAGTTTCACAGGGTAACTGTTTTTATCCACATTTTCATTCTGTAAACTCATGTGTGCTATTTTTCTTTCAGTCATCAACCTATGTACTCCACTCAACTGCGGGGGATTTATTTCTAAACTTTACCAGGTGTGGATCTGAAATTTGTAGCAGCTGTGGAACCATTGCTCTTGAGAAACAAGGTAAAACACGTGCTAAGGCCTCTCCTTTTGCAAACTTTTTAATTGCCATATGGTCTAACATGGACAATTCCATGCCTTAGAGGGAAAACTAGAATGAAACTGTCTTTTTTCTTTTTTTTTTTTTCTGTTTTTTTGCACAGTTTGATTTAGCAGTGTGGGGGCATGTTCACAATTACGAGCGAACTTGTGCTGTGTTTCAGGGCCGCTGCCTGCAGCACCCAATCAAGGATTTAGCAGGCGTCGATTTCTTTGACACTACAATTTACTCAGCTCCAGTTCACACCGTGGTTGGCATGGCCGAATTCACCCTGGATGACTTCCCTCATAATGTAAGCTTGCAGCTTTGTTTCCTATATTCAAGCTCTTTACATGGTATTGATATTCTACCTTTTCTATTTTTTTTTTCAACGATTCGAAGGTCAGCATTTGGATATGCAAGAGTGACAGCTGATAAGAAAAAGCTACTGTTTGAGGTAGATGAATTGCGTTCTTGGTTCTTGCATGTTATTTATGTATTTTTCATTCCAGTACATTACAACGGACGGAACAGTAGCTGACCGGTTTAAAATTGCCAAGCTAGATTGGGGATTTTCCAGGCTATGAACGATTTCAAGCTTTTCAAGTTCAATAGTTTGCTTGTAGAGCTTGCTGATTTGCTTGACGCTGCCAAGAGCTCTTGCTTTGCTGCACAGCACCTGTTTTTGGATCTTGCCAGTTGCGGTTTTGTCCAAGGCTGTGAGAATGACGATGCTCTTTGGCACTATGAACTTCGGTAAATGCTGTCGATAGAACGAGCTCCTCCTTGTTGCTTCTCACGCCGTACTTGAGGGACACAAACGCACATGGAGACTCGCCCCACTGCTCATCTGGCCGTGCCACCACAGCAGCTTCCAACACTGCTGCATGCCTGGAAGCAAACTTTAACGAGAAACAAAGAAGGATAATATCCTTGGCTCGATCCTTGATCTTGATGTATCCATTGGGATGCCAAACTGCCAAGTCCCCGGAGTGGAACCATCCTCCTCTAAAGCTCTCCAGCGTTGCCTCTGGATTGTTCAAGAACCCCTTGAACACCATGTTCCCACACATGCAAACTTCGCCAATGGTGACACCGTCCTTGGCAACCGGTTCCAGAGTTTTGGAGTTGAGCACCTGTAAGCCATCGAGGTAAACGTATTTCATGCCCTGCTGAGCCTTGAGCCTGGCCTGCTCATCGGGCAAAAGGCTGTCCCATTCGGGATTCCATTCGCACCCAGTGCATGGACCACAGTGCATGAAAGAGTGGGAAGAGGCTAGCTGCCTATTTTTCTTTCTATGCACTTCCTTTATGGTTATCTCCAGTTTATTTTTGAGTAGGTGGTATCTGTGGCTATATATATTTGAATGTGGAGTCATTCTAGAGAAATGCGAAACAACATGATGACTTGAGTTCCAACCCAGGCCCAGTGCATCTCCTCTTTTTATTGACCCACCACAATGATGAGCATCTCTTATGCTAAGAAGAAAACGTAAGCTTTTAGGTAATAGCTTATAGTGCCACAATTTCGTCTGTACCAACTGTCAGCATTGCAAACTTTGTGGAGTCATGTAGAGGCCGAGACTCTGTAGGTTCTGTTGAAGGTGTTATAGTGATCATCAATGATATAGGCTACAACAGTGGTCAACTCACAATAACAGATAACATCAACGAGTCTGATATGATAATAGTAAGTTCAATATAGCATGTGGATTCCTGACAATAATCTATATGATGACAGCTCAAATTCCATGGCAACATGATGGAATTATTCAAAGAGTTGATGAATGAATTCTTTTCTGGAACTCCACCAACAAGATGTTTCATTAATTTTACAAGGAGCATAAGTCAGACGTGGCCCTATTCCACAGAAAGTAACATAGGTTTTATTTTCAGGGTTTGGTGTCTCCTCCACATGATGCCGGCTTGGGGAATCAACATTGTGAGCGCGTTTGTTATGCTTAATCTTATCAATGAGATCTATCCCTTTTTTTTCTTTGTAGACCATTGCAGCAGTTCCCCCGCCAGTCAATGCCACAAGTGGCAGTGAGGAAACTGGTGAAGAAGCTACACATGCAGCTGCAGTCTCAATTATGGTCCAGATTATCATGCTGGGAATATCGTTCCTTGTAGGACATATGCTTAGACGCAACAAGATTATGGTGATTCACGAGGCTGGAACTGCGCTTGGGCTTGGTACGTTGCTGTTTGTCATTTTTCGTTTGTTTTCAACCTTATGTGCTTCCTAGAGTCATTTGAGAGTTTGTTTAGGGGTTCTTGTTGGACTGTTCGTACGCCTTGTCGGACAAGCACAAGGTTTCAGGTACTTCCCTTTGTCTTTCAATAAAGATTCTGATCGAAGAACTCGATCAGGTCATGGATTAATTTTAACGAAAAATTTTTCTTTTATTTTTTGCTCCCCCCGATCATATTATATCCTTTTATTTCTTCTCTGAGGCATGATCTTTGTGTCCTTAACCAACTTATATCTACTGAGTCAGGCTGGAGTTTGCGCAGTGTAAGCTGCAACCGTGAGAATATTATCACATGCCTCCTCATGTTTTAAACGCAGAAACCATTTTTCCACAACTTCGGAGCCATATGTGTCTTTGCATTTTTAGGAACCGCTATCTCTACGTTTGGTGTTGGAATTCTCATGCAAGTCTTTGAAATCTCCACCATTTTGTAACGCTTATATGCATGTTTTAGCAGTTACATTTTTGGAACTCTCAATTGGACTTACTCAATGCCATTTTTAGCTTGTCTTGCTTATGGTGCTCTGATATCAGCAACCGACCCTGTCACTGTCCTTGCAATTTTTCATGTAAGCTACAGTTACAAAGCCAACAACATTTTGCCTATTGTCCTTTCAATACAGGCTTTGGGAGCAGATGCTAATTTATATGCTTATGTCTTTGGAGAGTCAGTGCTTAACGATGCTGTGAGTAATGTTGTTCATTAGCCTGAAACAATGTTCTTCGTGTGTCTCAGGTGGCTATTGTCATGTATAAGTGAGTCTGCGAAAAGAAAAGACCCATTGTCGGTTTTTTTAGTTTCATATTTTTTAATTTGTGGCAGGACAGTTCTCTCCTTTATCAAGCATCCAGAAAGCACGGGCATTTTTAGTGCATTTTGGTTTTTCATTGCGATTTTTATTGGATCTTTTTCAATTGGTGCGTTAAGCAAATATTTCATCGTATACAAGCTGATCATGCGTATCTGTAGGTGTACTGACGTCTATGCTTAGTGCGGTCATGTTTAGGCATTGTGGCCTTCAAGAAAAAGGGTAGGTTCCTTGTGTTTTTTTTTTTTTTTTTGTAACGTGTACCTTTTTCTTTGCAGGCTTGCTATTCTAGAATCATGTCTTATGGCACTATTTCCCTATCTTGCATACAATATGGCAGATGCTCTTGAACTATCTGGGATCGTAGCAATACTATTTGCAGGCATTGTAAGTTCTCCTTGGTGATAGATTATTTACATTTCATTATTTAGACGATGAAGTATTATACTGCTCCTAATCTCTCATCAGAAGCACAACAAATTACAACAAGTTTTTTTGGAATGCTTTCAAAACTTTCTGAGACATTTGTGTAAGCGTAGACAAGTCGCTCTTCGAACTGACAATAAAAACAGGTTTATCTATATGGGTGTGGCTCTTTTCCTAGAAGAACAGAGCTGGAACAACTTTGGGTTCACAGTGTTCACAATTGTATCCTTTTTAATGAAATTTGAGCAGTGCCAAAGGTTTCTTTAACTTTGGTGACAAATTGTAGATCAGTATATTGGTTGCAAGGTACAGTTTTTCCTAAACATAAATACTCTGACTGTTTGTATTGTACAATGTAAACAGAGCATGGAATGTCTATCCTTGTGCTGCCCTGGTCAACAATTTTAGAGAACCAGCAAGACAGATACCCATGAATCAACAGCACGCTCTTTGGTACGGTGGTGAGTTTCCTCGTCTGAAGAAGAACATTACATCTCTAAATAAAATCTCAGGTTTACGAGGAGCTATGGCCTTTGCGTTGGCATTGCAGTCTGTTCAGGACATCCCTGATCATCATGGGCGGGTGATGCTAACCGCTACAATGTTCACAATATTTTTCACGGTTGGCTTTATTTGTGTTGAATTTATAAAGCAGTCTCAGATTATTTTAATTTACTTTGAATTTCAGGTTATACTGATTGGTGGCACAACGTACTACGCGCTTATGTATTTAAATATTGAATGTCATGGACCAGATTATCATGGAGCAGAGGTATCCTGTAACATCACACACACAAGAACTTTTAACAAACGCCTTTGATTGTAGGAAGAGGAGACCATAATGGAAGAACAAGAAGATGTATTTTTATGCATGCATATATACTAATTGTCTTGGTCCCGGAGTTTTGTTGCAGGAAACAATTGAATATGATTGTAATGTTGATGGCTTTGGCATTAAGGCTTTGAAAAAGCAGAAAGCACTAATCAAGAATAAGCTGCGAAAGCTGAAGAATTATGAGTTCGTTATTTCAACCCCTTTCTTTCGTGGCTGACATTATGTTTCTTTATGCAGAACATCGTTCGCAACTTTAGACAAAAAGTATTTAAGGCCGTTTTTTGTACCTGAGACAGTTTCCGAAGGCACAACATCTCAGGATGTAGAACTGCAAGAACGTAAGTTTTAAAGGGATTTTAGTAAAAAATACGGCCTTTTTGCTCTTCTTACAGAGATGAGTCAAAATATTGCGAGAATGTCTGCAATACACAAGCATGAGGCAGAGCTTGCTAGAATAACACAAATAGAAGAACACCAAAAGAGAAACAGCCAGCAAAGTTATTTTTCTCAGCAACGATCTGTTGCCCAGCCAACAAGCTCTTACATTCAACCAGAACATTACACTGACAGTTACACAAACTATAACCCGGAAAGATACCCAAGTTACTCGTTTGATGGCTACTACAATACGAACGACACCAATCGTGAAAATAATTAGCTTTGAAATTTGAGGTTGTCAAAAATTTCCCTTTCAGTGAAAATCAGATCTTAGCCATTTTCCAAAAATTTAGATAAGAATCTACATTATACACACCACTTCTGACGTTTTCCCAGAAATGTTTTAGCTAGACTATCGCCCTCACATTCCAGAAAAAAAAAAAAATGCTATGTGAGATTCTGGACAACATATGGGCTGCATCCTGTTGTTCAATAGGAAAGGCCACAGAAACCAGAAGGAATACTAGAAGCTTATACTCGTGTATAAAGAATCTTGGCCCAGCAATTGACTGCCACAGTCTCGCCTAGCAATTGTCACTGCTCCCGATCTGAGGAAGATGAAGCTAGTAAATTCTTCTGTGTATGCATTCTTACTTTCCTTTCTCCTTGTGAGTTATTTTTACTTTCACATTTTCAGTCGAGGATTTTTAGTTTCTTTCTCCTTTCTCTGAGCTTTATTTATGCTTATCTTTGTACAGGGCAGCGACAACCCTTTAGAATCGGCCCTGATTTTGAGTATAGGTCTACGAGCTATGGGTGATATCCCGGGTAGCCTCTCTTTTCGTTTCTGTTTTTTAGTTTCTTTCTCTGAGCTTTATTAGTAAAGTTCTAGCGAGCTACAGGTGATATCCCGGGTAACCTCTCTTTTTTGTTTGATATTTCATCATTGCACAGTATGCCATTGTGGATTTGAAAGGTTGCAGGGCTTTATCCGCTGATCCCAGCGGCAGGAATAGCGAGTTTCTTTGCTGGCATATCAACACATACTAAAACTCGGAAATGACAGAATGAACCAGCATATAGGCATTAATGGTGCCTGCAAGCTTAACATTTAGTGGCGCAGTGAAACCATTGAGTGAAACCTTTATTAATGTTGTGCTGTGATATTCGAGATATAAGCAATGAAATGCCTCCAAAAAGGAGGCCATCAGATTGTTTTTTTCAAATTTTTTTATGTTTTACAAGCATGTGCAGAATATCGAAAGCAGTATGTTGTACCAAGTTGAAACCTTGTTGTCTGCAAATATAGATAAGCACACCCCGGCCACGAACTTCAAGCATATGCCCAGCATATCAACATCTCCTTCATCCAGCTTATGTAGCGCATCATTCATGTCGGCCATTCTCTATCTGGAATTCACATTTTCTCCCACGCATTCTCAAACTTGTTTCCATATTGTAGATTTGCATCAACACATCTCCTGCATTTGTCAAGAAAACTGAGAAATCAGTCACAGAAATATTGAACCAGATCTTCAATAGCAGGTAGATCAGCTGTGACAATAAAGAGTAAAGCTCGCTGCTGAAACTCTCGTGTCAGCCCAGCGTACTCAATTGGATAGCCCGTGTAGAACAAGCTCTCCAATTCTCGGATGAGATATTGTAGAAACACATCCAAAGAATCTGGTCCTTTCTGTAGTTTCTCCTTTGAGATCACTGGCAGCACTAAGTCTTCAACTCTGCTTAATGCTGTCACCTCCACCGTTCAGTATCACAATTTCCACGGCATAGATAGTGTGTCCAAGCATTGACTCCATTGACGTGAAACATATGGAAGCCAAGTTTCAAGGATTACCATGCTTCAATACTTGCTTCCATGGAGTAGTTTGTTCGCACCAGGAACACGGCACTTCGAGCCTTTGATGCTCTTCGTTCCATCTAGGTTCTTTCAAGCATGGAAGTGTCTGTGGTCATGTAGCAAGCCATTCACTGCACTGATAACACTTGAAGGCAGCTCCATAGTTGGAAGGCCCATAGTCTTGCACGTAGCTTCAAAGGCTAAGATAGACTCTACAAATTTTAAAACCAGACATTAAAATGCATTCGACTTAATTTCTAGATAGAACTTTGACGCTGCTTAGTTCTCCCTTCCTGCTTAAAAGCTGGAACAAGCTAGGAACTTGATCATCTCCTTTGAAGAGCCTTCGAACAGCCTGGGTCACGTGATGTTCATCAAGCATTGCGAACAATTTAAGAATAGCTTTCCATATCAGATCATGTCAGGGCAGTTTTGCATTGAATTTCAAGCTTTGTAGATCCCAGCTCCGCTGGGAGTAGTAGATAATTTTTTCAATTTGAAAAGATGTAGTTGTAATTGTTCAATATATTTCTTTGTCTTGCTTTCTCTTAACATGTTTATTCTATAGGTTGCTACTGAGACTTACAGCTTTGATTCCAATCTGTGCATTCTACAGCTTTACCAGGTTTACAAGTTCTTCATGCCTTTTATAGTCATTTCTTTCCTGCACTAACTGGTTTTTCTCACAAGTTTGAGCCACAAAATCACGGACATCATGCAGCAACGGCAATAGCGACAGTTTGATGACCCTTCTGTGGAAATCCACATTCACAGCTAAGTTCTTAAGCACAATTCTCAGGAATGGAGCTCTACCTTGGCTTCACAAAAGTTGCTCAATGAAAACAGCAGCACTACCTAAAAGCTTTATCAACTAAATGACGAGGAATTGAGCAAGCATGACAAGGAAAAGAAAAAGTACACATACCTTGAGTGGTCATCAGCGAGAGAGCAATAGAAGCAGCATGAGACTGGACTGGTGCTGTGTAGCATTTAAAAGGCTGCAAAACAGAGGTGAGGCATCGGACACCAAGAAAAAGAAAGCAATGATCAAAATCAGCAAGGTAAGAAAATCATAAGTTCAATGAAGATGACGTTACCTGCTGACAAATATCACAGATGGTGTTCCCTTATCCTTATTCCCAGTGACTTCACATTGGGAGCTGAGAACTATTCCACGCTGCAGTGCTTCTGGCCTCACGGAATAAAAAACGTTCTGGTTTTTATTGAGCGCTTCCTGCATGAATCAAGCACAGAGGTCCAGAGAACATCATTGAGAGCATCTTCGCAAGGTATGAATTGAAAGATTCTGTCCAGTCTATCTCCATCTGAAAATCCTTGTTAAAAGCTTTTGACATGGCTTGAACAATGATGCGCACAATGTCCTCCTGTCTAGAGGAGTTGAGACAGGATATTTCACAAAGTGCTCAAGGTATCTTGCTTTTGTCTTCCAACCTTGCTCTTCTCCCAAGCTTTAAACTCTACTCTCTACCAGGAAGTTTTCCTAGAACCCTCCACCCAAGC